GTAAGCTGTCAACATTAGTTGTCCTCTTTTAAAATTTATTTCTATTTATGTGTTCAAGAACTGGGGTGTAGGCCAAAGGTATAGGGAGCAAGAGAATTTACCAGAGACAGAGTAGGGAGCAGAACAGGCAGATCTACCGAAAGATACTGCCAGGGGAGCCATGGGAGAGACGGGAGAGGTCTGCTGCGCCATGTGGGCCAGCGTCTTGGTGGAGGATTAAACTCATGCTGCAATGGCTGGCCATGGTTGATAGTGCTGAAACTTTAACCCCACACCACCAGGGAAGTCCTCTAGTTATCATCGTACGTCCAGCGCTGTCACCTCTGCTCTCATGGACTGCATAGACACACAGCAGACTCCAGCTTTTTCTGTCTACCAGAGCACCTCCCTCCCACTCCCAAGCCACTCCTTCCCCCGAGATGCCCAAGCCAGAAGCCTAGGTGCAATCAAAAAATTCCCACTACCTCCACATGCAGTTGGTCACCAAGTGATAGCAGTGCCACTTCACGTTTAAGGGACGGCAGGTTACTGAATCCTCTGCATTGCCAGAGCTCCAATCCAAAGCACCTGTCAAGTCAGATTCTTCGCCATCCCCTCTGGCAGAAAAGCCTACTTTCCTCTCTTGGTTCATCCAGTAAACTCTTGTTTATTTTTCAAGCCCCAATAGAAAAAGCCCATCTGCTAATCCTTTGTTTTCCTCTGGCCAGATGCTGTCAGCTTTTGCGTCACCAGCCATGTTTCCACACAATGAATTCCCACTCAGTCAAGCTCCTAGGCATGGTTTTTTTTTAATCTGTGAACCTCTTGGCAAAGTACTCAGTAGAACTGCTAGTAAATGTTGAATTAAATTTACTTGGGGGCCTCCCTGTAGGTAGCACAGTGCTATCAAGCTATCACCAGCCACTGCAGCATGAGTTTGATCCCAGGCCAGCTAGGGAGCTGACCCACATGGCACAGCAGACCTCTTCTGTCTCACCCACTGATCCCCTCAGCAGTGTATTTCAGTTGATCTGCCTGTCTGGCCTACACCCCAGTTCTTGTGTGTATAAATAAATAAATTTACTTGAATTTCCTCAAAAGTTGCTGTTTCCTTTTATGATTCAGTCATTGTTTTTAAAATAGAGCAGCTAGTTGTCACAGGGGTTTCCTTGGATATTATTACCACTGATAACAGCTGCCATTTCTTCAGCATCTAGGATATCACGTACTCTAAGCCCTATGACCTGGCTTCTAGTTTTCCCCACTTTACAGATGAGCACCCTAAGGTCTGTCAGTTGGTAAATGCAGAACCAGGAAGACGAAGTACACACCTCAATAGCTAAATCTGTGGTTGAGCCCCTCCTCTGATCCCTAAATGGCTAGCATTTTTACACCCCATTTCCTCATTGGAGAGGAAAAGACAGTTACTTTAGGAAACATTCTTGGGTACTGTTGTGGTCCCAGACACTGCTCAATACTGGGTTAAAACAAAAAACTCTCTGGGCCCTCCCTGGTGGTGCAACAGGTTAAGGCGCAACACTATGAATCGATCTGCAGCCACTGTAGCACAAGTTTGATTCCCAGCCAGGGTGGTGACCCACATGGTGCAGCAGACCTCTCCTGACCTGCCCGCTGCACCCCTTAACAGTGTTCTGCTCCCCACTCTGTCTCTGGTGAATCCTCTCACTGCCCCTGCACATCTGGCCTGTACCCCTGTATGCATCAATAAATAAATCTTAAAGAAAAAAAAAGCTAAACCTCTCTGCCCTCCTTGAGCTCACAGTCAAACAGGGAGACCACACACATACACTTCAAGTTTGTGAACTTGGTGGTAAATATAAAGAACAATGAAATCACAATCTGAAATACCTGGTTCCAAATCTAGATTGGATCTGCAACTCACAAATCTACAAAGCTTTGGAAACTAACACACATTTTGTTTACTCACAACTCATTTGGAGGCAAAACCCCCATGGAACATGAAGTTTGTGCATGGTTGTTACTCATCCCACTTCTTGGGAATATTCATTCACCTTGCTGTAGAAAGTGTGTGTCAGATCATAGCCTCCAGCAGGGAATGGGGAGCCACGGGTCTGTGGTGTAGCTGGCCCTGAGTTTTGGAAAATGGATGTGAATGTCTGCCTTGTGACCAACTGAATGTGTGTGAGTGTGATTTCATAAACTAAAAAGCAGTAAACTGTCAGATGGCCTGAAGGGTTTGGTCACCCCCTTCTGTGTGATGAGACCACTGAGGACAAAGCACGTGATACGTATCCACACACACAACACCCCTGCCCCAGGGGAAGTTAAACTGGGGCCAGATCTTAAAGGGTGAATTGAATTTCTCATTTCATGGAGAAGTTTTATGTGGACTGAGGAAAGAGCATGCAGTATAAGATGCCTTCAAGTAGCTTAAGCACATAGACGTTGTCAGCTTATGAAAAGACTAGTGATCTGTGAAGGAGCGGTATGGGTACTGTGACGGGCACGCCTACGGGCACTCGCTCTGGGCAGGAGCTGCCTCCAGAACTGGCCCTGCACACATTCATGGAGGAGCATCACTGTCAGGCTGATGCCTCCTGCCCCGGCCACCCCTCTGTCCACAGGCGGGTCCTCCAGAAGAGTGCTCACCTCGCCACCGTCACTTGGCGTGGGGTCAGCCCCTCTCCTCTAAGGTTGGACTTCCAGGTTCAAATCAGCCACCTACTACTTCTGGAGGCTTCAGGAAGTTCTCCACCTCTTTCGTGGCCTTGTTCCTTGCCTATAAGATCCAAATAATAGTATGAAAAGCACTTAGCAGAGTGCTGACTGATAAGCACTCGAACAGTCGTTATCACTACGCTGTGTACTCTTGCTGTGCATAATATAGACATTCCTTAATGCTTGAAACGTTTTTTAAGCCTTTATTCTCTCAGCCCTGGTCGTCAGCTCCTGCTGCTTAACCAGTTTCTGTAGAGGACATTTATATTTTGGCTTTTGGAGCTGCTTCTAATGTTGCTACAGCCTGGCTTCCCTTACTTTGGTCATGAGCCCCAGCTTAGGTCCCCCAGTAGTCCTTGTAAGCAGCCAGGGGATCCCCAGACTAATTTTAGGATGATGTAGAGGGAGGTAAATAAGATCACTAGCTTTGAGATTAAATAAGCCCTGCCCAGTTATTTTAAGTTTTATATGGGACTGAACCTCCCTGGTGGCACAAGGGGTTAAGTCGCAGCACTATGAAGCTGTCCACAGCCACTGCAGCATGAGTTTGATCCCTGGCCAGGAAGCTCTTCACATGGTGCAGCAGACCTCCCCTGTCTCGCCTGTTGTTCCCCTCTGCATTGTATTTCAGTGGATCTAGTTGTTCTGCTCCCCACTCTCTCTTGTGATTCCTCTCACCTCACCTCCCCACCCCTAACCCTGCACCTCTGGCCTGTACCCCAGTTCTGGTATGCATAAATAAATCTTTTAAAAAAAAAAAAAGAATTCGTATGGGACTATGGGTACATTCCTCACACGAGTATTATCTCCTAAATCTGATCATATATTTAAAGTTCTTAGCACTGAACCTAGTGAGTGCATAATAAGCATCCCATAAATATCTGCCACCATTATTACTATTGTACAAGGCATTTCTTGAAAACCACACCTTTATGGCCCTCTCTGGTGGCACAACGGGTTAGGAAGCAGCACTGCAAGCAGGCAAAAGCCTCTTCAATGCGAGTTCGAACCCTGGCCCCAAAGATGATCCACATGGCATTGCAGACCTCTCCTGACTCCCCTCAGCAGTGTACTTCATAGATCTGCTTGTTCTGCTCCCAGCTCTGTCTCTGGTGAAGCATCTTACCGCCCCTCCACCTCTGACTTGTACCTCAGTTCTGTATAAATAAATCTTAAAAAGAAAACCACACCTTTACCCCAAGATGTAGCCTGAAGAAAGGTCCGATTTCTGCAGGAAATTGGGTGGAATCACATCAACTTAATACAGTGACATTGCTGTCTAATGCTGTGAGCCTCTGGCTGACAATTCTTTGTATAAGTAAAAGTATGGAAAATGTTTGGTACATTCGAGCAGAGGAAAGCATTGCTCACATTAAGTCTTAGGGTTATGGTGAAGATAGAGCCGCCTCAAGTAGCTAAAGTTCTGAGTGCCCAAGAGGGTCTTTTTTCATAAAAACAAAAGTAACAGATATTGTCAAGGGGCCTCCCACAAGAGCCCTTCAGTGGGTTTTACCCACCAACCACAGTTTGAGTGGGATAGAGGTTAGGTCCATGGCATCTGGGGCCCACCACCAGCAAAGGGAGTTACTACGCAGACTTGAACCAGGAGAGACTCTGGAAGTGTTCAAGCGTAAATCCCCACCCCTGTTTACCAATGTGGACTAGAGCAGGAAGGAAACTTGCTGTCAGCGACAGCAAAGCCCGCAACCCTGCGGTGGGGCTTCAGTCCCGCATCCTTCTGACAGGCTGGATCCTCTATCCTCAGGCAGAAAGGACATCACTCCAGCAGGTGTTTTTTGAATTCCATCTGTGTTTCCTTCACCCCTCTGCAGCTAATGGAAATGCCTTGTCTCCCCAAGTGGGGGGTGAGGAGGCAGCAGTGGGTGGAAAACAAATGAGCTAGCCCTGGGTCCCCAGAAATACATGCTCATACGAAATACTTAGAGTGCCCCTTACAGGTAAGAATCTGGCCCACCAGGTCAGAAGTGGGGCCTGAGAATCTATTAGTAAGCACACCACCTGATACCCATAATCAAGCACTTTTAGAAAACAGCTAATCCAGTCCAGCAGAAGTTTGAACGCCTACTCTAGAGTGGGCGGGGTTGAGAGGTCAGGAGGAGTATCCCATTCACAGTTCACGAGTGAACCTGTATCCTGTGCTGATCCCTTCAGTACCTCTTTCCTAACAGAACCCTGACTCCCAGGTACAAAGTGGCAGCTCAAAAATCCTGCTACCTGACCTACTTTGGGAGATGGTCTGAGCAAAAGATGCCCTGTCTTGCCTGGGTGACATTAACATCTCTCTTTGACTTTGTGCTCAGACTGAAGAATCAGGAGCTTGCTGCTGTGGGCAGATCGGACATCCATGTGAAGATGCTGGCGGCCCCTATCAATCCATCGGACATAAATATGATCCAAGGTAACCTTGGTTTCTGTGGCTTATGTTAATTGACATTTTTGCTTAGCTGCCACCTCATTTTCATTCTTCCTCAGGTGTGGGTGTGAAATTCCTGTGATTAGTGGCAGCTGTTCTCCAGATGCGCCTGTCTGCAGACAATGTGAGCCCTCCCATGGCCTCCCCTGTCTGGAATGCGAGGCCTTTTCCAGAATCAGGAACACTCAAAATTGCCATGGGGAATAAACAACTATGGTCAAGTGCTAATATACTGGACGCAATTCATACTTTGTCTTATTATTTAATCCTCATAGTAACCATGGACATTGCTACAGTATATCAAGCGTAAACTCCCACCTCTATTTTACAAATGAGGATGTGGAGGCCTTGAGCAGGAAGGAAACTTGCCTTTACAGTGAAGAAGCTAGAACTCAGAGAGGTTGGTTAGATACACACAGAGGCCCACGCGGGGCTTTGGTCTGTCTGATTCCAGAGTTCACACTCGCCCGGGCCTTGCTCATGACCCACTGTGCTCTTCTCTCTCAGGAAATTACGGCCTCCTGCCCCCACTGCCTGCTGTTGGAGGGAATGAAGGTGTCGGGCAGGTAGTAGCAGTGGGCAGCAGTGTGACCGCGATGAAACCAGGAGACTGGGTGATTCCAGCAAGTGCCGGTTTGGGTGAGTCTCTGCAGGTGTCTGCAGTATTTCCTTGTTCCAGATCTGATTTCAGCCACAGGTGAACATTTGCCCTTCCATCCAGTGTAACTAAGCTAGGCATTAACTGCACCCATCAGCCTACCTCTAGTAGGGTGGGGGCTGAACAAGGAAAGCAGTTCTGTTCTGCTCTGGAAGTAACCCTCTTCCTATCATCTCCTTGGGCCCACGTGACTGGAGCTGTGTTTCTCTGAACCTCCACACCCATAAATCCCTGCTGGTAGGGACAATGGGGGAATATAAATAAGACTGTGCCCACCCTCTAGGAGGTTAAAATCTAACTGAAGAAATCTCCAATAACCTCTCTGAGAGCCACAGAGTAGACTTCCAGTAACTGAAGTCAACAAGAAGGTCTTTGCTTCTCCAAGATCAGAGAAGCTGCCCAAAAACAGCCCCACCCTCTTCGACAGACGGCTGGGAATGAGAGCACCTAGCCAGGTGAGCAGCTCAGTTGCAAGGATTCACCAGCTCTTGACTGGTGCTTAGGGCCAGCTCTGTGCTGAATGAAGGGCAGACGGGTCAGACAGTCCCTGGCTTCAGGGTGCTCTGTGCTGGGGCTGGGGAGCCTGGGTACAGAAAAACAGCACTAAATTCACTGCATATAGTAAGTGCTCTAATCACAGGATGGACACAAAGGCAAGCATCCCTGGTGGGGAGCGTTTGGAAAGGCCTCCAGAGAGGTGAACCAGTGGGCCCAGAGAGGAAGGACCCCCGGCAGGGAGGTACACAGTGTGTGCAGAGGTGCAGAGATGGGAAGCACAGGTCGGAACTGCAGGCAGCTCTCTGCAGCAGGGTGGTGAAGGAGATGGGAGAGAAGAGGCTGGACTCGGCTGGGGCCCAGTCCTGGAGGGCTCATCCCAGGGGCAGAAGGGGCCCGATGAAGACTTAAGGAGGGGATGATCCAATCAGATTTGTGCCATGCAGAGAATGGGTTAGAAGGACAGAAGCTGGAAGCAGGAAGTCAGTAGGGAGGTAATTGAGCAGTTCAGGCTTCAGATGGGGGGGGGGGGGTCTGACAGCCAGTGCCATAGGCTTGAAGAAGACAGGCTGGTTTTCAGAGCTAACCTAACAGGACATGGTAATTAGATGTTGAGAGAGGAATAAAGGACATCTGCCAGGTGTATGGATAATTGCATGTGTGGTGGTGTCCAGAACAGGGTTTTCTGCCTGGAGAAAAGCTGAGTCTTTTAAACCAGGTACTGGTCAGAGAGCATGAAGATTTTATAATGGTCAGGCTATCATTAACTCACTTTACTCAGTAAACATTTTATAAGCATTTGCAATGTGCCGGCCCTAGTGTACACGGTGAACAGACATGGTGTTTTCCTTCGTGAAGACCCTGGTCTAGGAGCAGCCGCGACCATTAGATAGGAGGGTCTTTAGGCTGGATCTGAGTCATTTTTGCAGTCCTGAGCTGCCCTGCTACTGCTGTGCCCACCCGCAGCTTTTTCCCATCTGCAGCACAATCCAGGGGAGAGTGGGCCAGTGAGTGGGGATACAGCTTTGCCAACTTACTTTTCCAGTGGGAACTCAAAATCCTCCCAGAGCAGAACAGATCACTAGAAAGAACACCGGCCTGGGAATCAACTGCAGCCCTGTTTAATCACAGCTGCTTCGCACCTCAGTTTCCTCATCAGCTACAGTGGGGCTAACTGTCCTTGCCTTTCATATTTCAACAAACTCCTGCCGCTCACCTGAGGGAATTCCAGCAACTAGCTTTGCAAACAATACATTTCTGTGTCTATTAGATCAGGGATTGGCCATTTTTTTTCTTTAAAGAGCCGATTCAGCTTTCATCTTTACAGGTCATACCGCCTCTAGTCAGCTCTGCTATTGTAAATAACCACAAAAGAAACACAAAGTGAACCCAGCTACAGCTCCTCTTCCTGCGTAGCACCAGGGCAGTGTTAGAACCCAGCAGCCAGAGACAGAGTGGCAACTCGGGCTTTGGAGGCACAAGCCGAGGGTCCCAAGAGACCACGGCCACCCGACACGTAGCCCGGGCCGGAATCGGTCTGGCTCACTCCAAGATCTGTTGTCTTCGCCTCTGCTTGGCACGGGAGCCTGCCTGTCACCCCTTTAGCCAGTGCACCTCAAGTAAATTTGATTTTACCTTCAAAATAAACTTGAACCATCAATTTTTCTTCATCCCCACTGCCAAAGTCTTGGACTAGGTCACCCTCTTCTCATATCCTGACCCCACAAAAAGCCTCCTCCTGTTTGACCTTCTCATTTCCACTCTGCCCCACCCCACCCCACAGTTTTCTCCACACTGCATCATGGTGATCTCAGAGCACAGCTCAGATCCCTGCTCTTAAAGCCCACGAGGAGCTTCGATTCACTGAAATGGTCTGCTCTCCATGCCATGACCCCAAGGCCCTGAGTTCTCAGGCTGCAGGTGTGACCCATCAGCAAAAGCAATCCAGAGCGTTGCAGAGTATTCCCCTCTTACACTGGTCAGAGTAGACAAGACCAGCCTGAGGCCATCATATGAAGAGGGGTAACTGCCGCTGGGTGAGACCCTGGCCTCTGCCGTCTCTGTTCACGTGTAAGAGTACTTACAGCACAACCTGGCACTGATCCCAGCATGAAAGTCTAACACCCCTGTTCGACAGGCCACATCTGCCACGTCTCTGCCCCTCACTGCCTGCCCTCCCGAGTGTGTTCTCCCTGTTCCGTTCTTACAGCTGACCTGCCTCACCGTCTTTGTCCTCTGCCTGAAATGTGTGCATATGCTTCCAGGGGCCAGCATCTCTGTCCTTTCTGTCAGGGACAAAATCTGACCCATCTAAAGCAATTCTCTCCACTGTTGCTCTCTGTCTCTTTATAATCACTGTATTTGCTTGTCTGTTTTTCACCTGTCCTACTCCACAAGAATGAAGCCTCCATGGAAGGCTCTTGCCTGCGTTATTCAGGGACCCAGCACACAGCAGGTGTCGGACAAGCCCCTGGAGGGCAGGGAGGCAGCCAGCTCAGCCAGGAGGCAGTGGACAAGTCACCTCCTCAGCTCCCTCCCCTTTGAATGGGGAGTTGACAGTCCGTACCCTAAGGGTCTTCTCCCAAGGGTCTTCTCCGTACTGACATTTCACAGTGCTCATCTGGAAGTAGGGGCTAGTGATCATCCCTCCAGTTTAAAGGGTTTCTTCATTTCCCATACTGTCTCCTTTGATTTGTGCAAGGAGCCAGTCAGGCTCTTGCTGATGTCATTTATATCTTAGAGCAACTAACTAAGGCTAGCAAAACTAGGTCCCAAATCTAGGCATTTGACTTCCACTTTCTTGCTTTTTTGAACAATACCACCCAAGTCAACCTGCCCTGGTTGAGGAGAATGAGGACTAAGTAGGAAAATGGGACTTTCTTGGCTTATGTTGCCCTGGTCATGGTGTTGCTGTCTTACCCTCAGAGTCCAGCAGCTTGAGACCCCTAGCCACCAGCAGTGTGGCATTGGCTAAAGCAAAAGGTAACTGACATGGGAATAACCAGACCTACCATATGGAATTATCATGAGAACTCAAACGTATTTAAAAGGACTTCTAGACTCTCTTATCTAAGCATTACTTGCCCAGATGCCCATTCACTGGGGAGGGTGGCCTGGGGTTCAAGTACAGGGTCCATCCTTACCCCTTGGACTCACCCCCTGACTCAGGAACGTGGCGGACCGAGGCTGTATTCAGCGAAGAAGTACTGATCGGGGTCCCAAGCGACATCCCTCTTCAGAGTGCTGCCACCCTGGGTGTCAACCCCTGCACAGCCTACAGGATGTTGATGGACTTTGAGCAGCTGCGGCCAGGTAGGCGCCCATAGGTGGGAGAGGAACCAGGACCCAAAGTCCTGTCCCCTAGGCTACAGGAACTTACTGGCGAGGGGCCCGAAGGACAGACTGGTGCCTCACCTAGGTGGAGGTGGTGGTGTGGCTTTACTCCTAGAACCTCTGCTGGAGCTGGAGAGAGCACGTTCCTGAAAACCGCCGAGGGCCACATTCCCTGGCGCCCGGGATGGAATTCTGTCATTCGGCAAAAATGTACTGAGCTGTGCTAAGCTCTGGGGTTACAAAGCTAGCTAAGACAGACACAGCCCCTGTGTTTTCATTAAAATGCTGAACTTAGTGTTCATAATTCCGCTCAGCTCTTACAAGCGCTTTCCAGTTCCCACAAGTGCCTTGACACGCATTACCCATATTGAAAGCATTAAACCATCAAAGCAGGTCAGTGAGGTTAAGAGCTCAAGCCCCAGGCAAACGGCCTCAGTGTGAACTCCAGCTTCACCTTCCCAGTGCCCCATTTTGTGATTTTTTCCCTGATTTTTCATCAGTAAAATGGAGACTAAGGAATTCTGAAGGTTAATGAAACACTGCGATGTAACGCTTAGCACAGGGCCTGGAGTAACTGCACAGTGCTATGAGGCTTCCCTGTTATGAAAGAGGAAACTGAAGTCCAAGAAATAAATTATTTATGTGAGTCATTCAGCGAGGAAAGAACAAAGCCAGGTATTTTATTTAGGGTTCTCCTGAAAGTAAAACTGAAACAAGGGACAGAGGGCAGAGATGATCCCAGGAAGCAGGGATAAGGCAATGAGGAGAGTGAGACACAAGGAGAAGCCAGTGAAGGCTGATTACTGCCATGGACATCCAGGGCTCAGGCCTGCGGGGTGGGTCTTTAAAGTCTGTCAGAGAACCCACCTCAGAACTAACCTCCACATGGCTGGAGGCTGGGCCTGTTACCCACACACTGTTACCCCATTGTTGGAGAGTTACCTGTGCTATGCACAGCTGTGAGCTGGCAGGGGCCACAGAAACCATCCCGTCTAGCTCTGTTATGGGAGTGAGGGAACTGAGGCCAAGAGCTGTTGGAGTATGATGAGCTCAGGTGACCAGCTGCTACTCGAGACTGGCTGAAAACCAGCCTCAGCTTCCCACCACAGAAAATGCAGATTCTGACAGCTGAGGCCGTGGTGGAGAAAACCAGCAGGTGTGGCCAGCAGCCTCTGCTCAAGTCCAAAGGCAGCAGAGGCTTTGGTCACCTATGTCTCGTCCCCTTTGGTCTCATCCCACCTCTGATGTGGCCGTGGCTGTGGGGGACACATCAGGGCCCTGTGACACCACAGGCGCCCAGGCTGCCTCTCCACCCCCAGGGCAGTTTGACAGGGTCCAGGTCAGCGGGAAACAACTTACAATCTTGAAAACAGTTTTACCCAGACTAGTTCTGATGCACTCTGCTGTTTTCAATTCTGTTTCTCTGAAGTAGCTATAAGGCATTGAGAGAAACGGGCCTATATAAAACCAGGTATAAGACCATGAGCATTACTAGAGACACCAGTGCGAGCCATGGGATGCACCGGGCAGGGGGAGTTCTGCTAAGTTCTCACAAAGGAAGCTGCACTCAGGCTCTGCTTTGGTAGATGGAATTTCAAAGGCAAGGCGGAGAGAATAAACAAAACCTTGCAAAGGAAATAACCTAAGCAGAGACTTGAGGGCATAACAATAGGGAAAACAATGAAGCATCCATGTCAAGTCCTGTACACAGCAAGTCTAAATGACCTGCTGGAACAGAGTGAACTCCAAGCTGCCCAGCCCTGGCAAGCACCTTGGGTATTATAGAAGTTTGGGGGACATTAGGAAAAGAGTGAGCAACGCCCAAAGGTCTAAGAAGGCTCAACAGCCAGATTCTACATCCCTCTTAAGCCTGAGGGCTCCACCTCTTGCCCCAAAATAGTAAGATCCCAGGCTGAAAATCCCTGAGCTATTTTACAGGTCTCTAGGGCTTGACTTGAGTCTCTTCCTGCCTCCTCAGGGGATTCCATCATTCAGAATGCATCCAACAGTGGAGTGGGGCAAGCAGTCATCCAGATCGCCGCGGCCCTGGGCCTGAGGACCATCAATGTTGTCAGAGACAGGTGCGTGGGGAACCTCATCCCAGACTCGGATTTGGGCCCTTCTACTTCCCATCCCTGAAGGTGCCCCTGTGTCCACCAGATGGCGCCCTGGCATCAGCAGGAAGCTGCTTTGTCAGGAGTCAGTCTGAGAAGACAGAGTCAGTCTGAGAAAGGAAGGCCAGGCGGCTTTGGCTATAGGTGAGCAGATACTTGAAATGTAAAGGGAAGGCAGGAAGAAAGTGGAGACACCCCGTACTGAACAACTAAGAAATTCTGACATTGGGGTGTCCCTGTTCGGGCTCCTCTTGTTGCACCAACAACATCGCACTGATAAAGAAAAGAGATGAGAGTCGTGGAGCGGGCCGTAGGATGCAGGCGCTGCTCAGAGCAAGACATTGGCCTTTTTATTGACAGAGTAAAGAGTGTGTCAGAAATATCAGATTTTGGGTTTTAGGGAGCATGAGTCTGCTGATACACTCCCGACTCCCACCCATGGCTCCAATCTTATTAACAAGGTGGTCCGCTGAGCAATCCCTGGGACGCAAAGCATATCAATCCACAGTCCCGGCATACCTATTGCCTCAGGGTGATCAGTGTCCTGCTCTTATGTAACTTGAAAGGAATCTGGCATGCTACACCCACATTTTGAGACTGTTCTCTTGTGGTAAACCATGTTTTCGAAACCACAGTTCATATTTAGGAATAAATAATGAAAGCTATGTTACTCCTTCTGTGAACTGTCTACCTCATGGCCTTTCTCCTTTGCATTTGTGTGGTACACTGAAGTGCACTAAATACAGATGGGAAGGAGATAGGCAGGATTGTCACCTCTCCTGTGCAGATGAGGAGACTGGACATTTTAGAGGGAGGAAGCAATAGCTCAGGAAAACACAGCAAGTTGGTAACAGATTTTAGTTTTCTGAGTTGTTCTCTTTCCCCCAGGTCATCCAGTTCTTTAAGCTTCACTGTCTACTGTGGTCACGTCTGTCATGGAAGTCAGGCTTAGAAAGAGAATTGATACTCGTTCAATTTACCACCCCCTCAGGGGTATGAACAAAAATTATTCTGTTAGTTTTGACCAAAGGAGCCCAAGAGCCTCCCTTGGGCTGCAGTATGTTTATGAAATACTCTGAAAAGACCCTTGAAAAGGGGAAAGCAAATGGAGCACATCTTTTCAATAGAAGAAAGTGAAGTGAAATGGCTTCTCCTGGACAGGTGTTTTCTAGTCTCTTGAGCTAGCAGAAGCTACAGAAATCACTTAGCCTCGCTTTCTCTTGTCAGTGGGGAAACTGAAACCAAGACATGTTAGACTACTATGATGAAATAGAGTGGCCAATGTCTGTGGAACGCCTGACTAAATCCTAGGCTCGGCTTCCCACAAGGAGAAGCTCACATTCCCACAGCTATGGCAGCGGGTCTCGGGGCATCAGTGACCAAGGAAGTTGGATTGTGTTTGCTTTCCAGACCTGACATCCAGAAGCTGACTGACAGGCTGAAGAATCTGGGGGCAGAGCATGTTATCACAGAAGAGGAACTGAGAAAGCATGAGATGAAAAAGTTTTTTAAGGTACCTAGGATGAGGGGCACTGCACCTCCATCCACAGTGGGAACTAGCCCATTGTTCCTCTCAGAATCACTTATGGAAGGATGGAGTCAATTCCCTCAGTTGGGGCACAGCATACACTAGGTGCTGTGAGGGAAGACAGACTAAATTAGGAAACCCCTTATGATTTATAGTTTTGAATATCAGTGATGGGCCACATCAGCCCACAAAGCTGATATAACTCTCAGGTCTGGGAGGGACCAAGGAAACTGAGGCACAAGAAGAAAGAGAAAAAGAACATTTCTGAAGCACTTACCTTACATTTTATCTGATAATCCTCTCAAAATCTCTATGGAGTAGGTACTATATACTTTATAGGCTCAGAAGAAATAAGACTTGACCAAGGCCACATGGTTATAAATGCGAGTTTCCCTGAAGTCAAAGCCTCTTAACTTTCCAGAACATTCATCCCCAGAACACTCAGTGAGTGACCACCCACATTCCAGCCACTTTGCACTGAAGTCTCTGGAGAAACCAGAAACACACAGTCACTTCAGAACACATGCCTCTTGAGAATATTTCTGAAGCAGTAGGTCAACATGTCTAAGATAAATTGGGTTATAAGTGCCAAGGAAAAAAGCATTCGGGAAAATAAAGAGGATTCATGCTGTTTGTCTATCCTTCCTCAGAGGTGAACTTTGAACTAAATCCCAAAACAGATAGCAGGATTAAGTTGGTAAAGAACAGATACTTTCTGAGTAGAGAAAAAAAGAAGACAAAAACATCCCATTTCCCCGACTGCCTTCTCCCGATATAGCATTTGGGCCAAGGAAGTGCTGTTTGCAGTAAGCTTCCAGGGTGCCAGATCTCTCATCACAGGTTCCTTCTGTTCCAGGACATGCCCCAGCCCAGGCTGGCTCTCAACTGTGTAGGCGGGAAAAGCTCCACCGAGCTGCTGCGGCACCTAGCGTAAGTCCTGCTGCCATCCGCTCGCTCCCTGCACACCGCTAGTTGTGAGGACCATCAAGCAGCCGAGTCCCAGTGGCCAGCGTGAGCCAAGGGTCAGGTCAGCACAATGCTGAGTAGAAACTGGGACCAAAGTGATAGCCTATTACCTGGGTGTTCCCTTTCTCCACCGCCTCAAGAGATGACCGAGAGGCCTATCCAGCTTTATTTTTCCAAGAGATGCCAGAAGTAGATTGCTAAGCTCTCTGATAGGGAAGTGGCTAAGGATTCATAGCCAGGGGCATCTTTAAAAGTCACTTAGTCCTAACTTATTCTAATTTTAGAACACTGTACTATTACACTATTACAAGCTATTTTGAAAGTATATAAAACTACAAAGGAAAACTGTCATCCCAACCCTGAGAAGCACACATCTCCTTCCATTCTTTTTCCCTTTAATGTTCACTTCTGGAGCTGCAGGGCCTGAAAGGATACTTCCCCACTACAGAAATCCCCTCCACCACATCAGCTGATACATATTTGCCAGCACTCACCAGTTTCAGAGTACAGAAATGGCTGAGACCCTGAGAGACAGACCCTCTAGAAGTCATGGGCTCACTGGGAAGATGAGTCAGGTGGTCAACAATTCCTGGGCGTTCGCCACACAGCAGACTCAGCTAACACTTCCCACAAGTACTGAGGCAGGGGTGCGACTCCAGTGCCTGTTTAGACAAGGCCAGAGAGGGTATTCGCTACACCTGAGGCCAAGCAGGGAGGAGAGCTGGGCCTGACCCCACGTGAGTGAGTTATCGTGACTCCTGAGCGACCTCATCAGCCTATTCCAGACAGCATCCAGGGCACCTGCCACCCCATCTCAGAGGAGGGGAGCCTTGCTCAGTGTCAGAAAGGCTGGGTTCAACTTGGGAGCCCACTTCCCTGCAGGAGACCGGAGTGGGCAGCGCTAGAGGGCCCAAGTGTACGCTCAACCCTGTGTAGTGTTTACTTCTTGCAACACAATCAGTGTGGAATTATGGCAACATTTGCACACTGGGAATGAGTGCACAACTGTATAACCACACTCTACAAGTGCCGCCTCAAAGCCGTTGATAGATTTTGCACCTTTCCTTGGATATATTTAAATTTTCACATTTAAAATATTACATCATATTCAGGTAAAACTGGGGTGGGGGAATATAATTTTTATGTGAATTTTGATGTAAAAAGAAACTAGTCATTTATTTATACTATAGACTTGATGCAAAAAGCATTTTTCAGGCCTGGTATTCCTAATGTGAGATGTGCCCTTTTTAATTTTTAATAATATTTTAATATTATTGTATGATATAGTAATATGTTATATGTAATATGTAGTTGTATATTGTATGTCATATGATAATATCATTTAATATTTTAATATTCAGCACAGCTGAATAGTTCAATAAAATTAAAGGGAAAGATTAAAAAAATAAACTGCTGAGGGGGCCTCCCTAGTAGCACAATGGGTTAAAGCGCAGCACTATGAAACTATCTGCAGCCACTGCAGCACGAGTTCCATCCCCGGCCAGGGAGGTGACCCACATGACAGGCAGACCTCTCCTGACCGCCCTGCTGCTCCCCTCAGCAGTGTACGTCATCAGTCTGCCTGTTCTGCTCCTCACTCTGTCTCTGGTGAAGCCTCTCACCCCCACACCTCTGGCCTGTACCCCAGTTCTGTATGCATAAATAAATAAATCTTAATTTAAAAAAAAAAAAAAAAAACTGCTGGGTTCAAGTACCAACTCTGCTACTTAGATAGCCAGTATGAAAAGTTAAGCAATACATGAGAGACCGTCCAGGCCTTCAACCCTTTCTGCCTCAGCAGTTTAAGGGACACATAAATGACTATACAGATGAGGGGGTGATCATCAGTCTTTTCACCTGCCAAATGAATATGCTCCCTTAAGGCTACTGTGAGGATTCACTGAACCCATTAGTTTAAAACGCCCCACGCTGTGCCTGGCACCTAATAACCACCCTGTAAATTGCCTGTTCTGAACCAACAAGTGTAGTTGGGGACAGGGAGAAGAAGTGATCCCCACAGGAGCTACTTGCTGGAACAGGTGGCCATTGAAGGGAGCAAAGACTAAACTACCTACCAATTTCAGGGCCAGAGTCGCCACCTCACAGCTGCTTCTTACATTTTGTAATTTTTTTTTTTCAAGATTTATTTATTTATGCTTACAGACAGGTCAGAGGTGTGGTGGGTGAAAGCATTCACCAGAGACAGAGTGGGGAGCAGAACAGGCAGACTGACAAAGAACACTGCTGAGGGGAGCAGCAGGTGGGTCAGGAGAGGTCTGCTGCGCCATGTGGGTCATCTCCCTGGCCAGGGATTCGAACTGGTGCTGCTGAGGCTTTGGAGAGCTTCATAATGCTGTGCTTTTAACCCATTGTGCCACCAGGGAGAGCCCTACATTTTGTAATTTATAGTCTCCCTTGTTTTGTCCCAAAATGTGCCTCAGGTCAACAAACTCCTAAAAGCCAAGGAGTGGAGAGGGGAACACAGGTGTTCCGTCAGGCATGAGGAATCCTAACTTACAGCTCCTAAAAGCTGTTTGAGCCTCTCTCCTGTATGACTGAGGGGGTGTCAGGGAGCAGGTCCTAACAAGAGGACAGTTGCCACCTTCCTCCACGCCATTCACACTGGCCCTCAGCTGTACGCTACTGTCCTTTCATTCCTCCTTAGAATTAGCATTTGCAGATGAAGGCTGGGAGGAGGCTGACCCGTGCCAGTGCCTTGCCGGCATACCTGTGAGTGGGGTAGATCCGGACAGCACTGAGGACTGGAGCTTTCTCAGCAGAACGGCTTCTTTGTAGCACCTCATCCAAGCCTGTGTCAGGCTAGATGGGCAGGGTAGAGCGGGGTGTCCCCACCCTGGCTGAGCATCAAGTCATCTGGAGGAGTGCATGCTTGTTTTTATATAGAGCCTTGCCCCTGGTCCTTTAAGTCTGGGCTGAGCCTAGGAATCTGTTTTTTGAACCCTCCCCAATGCATTCTGAAAGCCAAATTTGGGAACCAGGGTTGGAATAAAAGTGCCAGAGCAGATCCAAGAATGGCTCATTTCTGCCGCTCTCACTGTCCTCTCTGGACTCTCCAGGCCTGGAGGAACCATGGTGACCTACGGGGGGATGGCCAAGCAGCCTGTCACAGCCTCGGTGGTAAGCCAGTGGGGGCGGTGTGCCTGGAGATGGGCCTGGACCCCACAGTTGTCTAACCTCAGGTCGTGCTCCTGTCCCTGGGGAGGCGGGTGTACCTTAAATGCTGCCTGAAGTTACTGCCATTGGAGCCCCAGGGTGCCCTTCCTGTGTCCACAGAGCCTGCTCATTTTTAAGGATCTCAAACTTCGGGGGTTTTGGTTGTCCCAGTGGAAGAAGGACCATGGTCCAGGTGAGTGGATGATGACCCCATTGCCCAGGGTCACACGAGGGCAGTGGCCGCTACATATGTCACCAGCCCCATAAGCCCTGGAGGTGTGATGGGCCCTCAGCCCCATGATAGGATAAAGCAGGTCACCTCTAGTGCAGCAGCAGTCAGCAGTTGCTAGACTACAGTGGCTATGGCTGGGGTAGGGGGCAGAGTACTGAACAAGGCAGACGCTGCCCCTGCCTAAACACCGGGAAGAGTGCCCTGGAACGCGGCCACGTGAGAGGAGCAGACTCTGGAGCCAGCCCTTATGGGCTCAGCCCTGTTTGCAGCATGACTGCGTATGGCGCCTGACCTAACAGCAGAGTTAAGACAGGTGATCCACCTCCATCTCCGCATGATAGTTCCAACTGCTGTCAGCCCTGTTTGACAGGGGAAACCGAGGTTCAGTGTGCTGAAGTGACTTTTTCACTCCCACCTAAGGAATGGTGCAGGCTGGTGTGAAAAAATCTATCAGAGAGAGTCAGAAGCTACAAGGTTAGGTTGTGAGCAGATCATGAAAGGTCTTACCAAACTTTCTGAGGAGTTAAGACTCCATCTTACAGGCAGATGGGGAGCCATCCAAGAGTTTTTGTTTGTTTGTTTTGTTTTTTTAAATATTTATTTATTCATATAGAACTGGGGTACCCACCAGAGGTGCAGGGGCAGTGAGAGAATTCACCAGAGACAGAGCGGGGAGCAGAACAGGCAGATCGAGAAAGTACACTGCTGAGGGGAGCAGCGGGCGGGTCAGGAGAGGTCTGCCACGCCATGTGGTCACCACCTGGGGCACAGCGGGGATCGAACTCATGCAGAAGTGGCTTTAGCTTCTCAGTGCTGTGCTGTAACCCGCTGCGCCACCAGGGAGGGTCCCCATCCAAGAGTTTTAGGCAGGGTTGTCACTAGATTTGAATACAGAATGAATTTATGACTTAAAAATTGCTTCTCAGCCAAGGTCTTTTTTGGGTCCTCAGTGGGAGGCAGGCCTAGAAGGGGAAGGCCTCAACTTGTGGGGCTCTTGGGGTATCCTGGGTTCTCAGGGAAGCTCCTTCCCCAGAGTCAGGCTCACATTTCCATACTGTTGGCATTCCAGGCAACCCACCTCGGCCTGTGTCTCTCTGGCTTTACTGCCTCAAAGTAATCCTGCCCTTACCCCCACTTGGGACTCTGGGTAACATCCCAGTCAGGTTCTGTGGATCTGAGCCATCAAAGCCACCACTCCGCCTCCCATTGGGTCACTCCTGGGGCCATTCCCCAGACTCCTGGCCACACCCTTACTGTCCTGAGTACAGGCAGGACCAGACTACCTCTGCAATAACCCTATCTGTGGCCACATCAGGACTCTCAAGACTTTCTTGGGGCGCAGCACTAGCTCCTGTTGCAAGGGCTGCCTGTCACCTCCTGAGTCCTGCTGCTGCTCTCTGTCTGACTTCCTCCAACCTCCCACAGACCAGTTCAAGGAGCTGATCCTCACGCTGTGCGAGCTTATCCGCCGAGGCCAGCTCACGGCCCCTGCCTGCTCTGAGGTCCCACTGCAGGACTACCAGCGTGCCTTGGAAGACTGCATGAAGCCCTTCGTGTCTTCAAAGCAGATTCTCACCATGTGACCATCCCAGAGGAGCCAGAGAGAAGTGGGAAGAGACCGATCAGCAGACCTGGTTTCAGGCCCCTCTGCTGGGCTCAGCCTTCCCCAGACAGCTCTTCTCATCATCGCTCCCAACTGGGAGATTGTGAAGCTAGCTGACATGTTCCCCAGGACCAGCCTTGGGGTGTCTAATAAAGTCTGAACTTACCCAAACAAAAACCAATAGAAGTCACCCTCATCAAGGACAACCGTCACAGTGCACCTGCCACCTCCCAGCGCTCAGAAGCCCCCTTCTTGCCTGTCTTCCGTTGTCTCCGGCCATCACCTCTTTACCATTGAAAGCAAAGGCTGGTGGGTGCCAGCAGGCACAAAAGTCAGTAAGACACGACCACCTTCACGCTGTCCAGGGCCCACAAAGGAAACTCTCGTGAAAGGAAGATTTGACTCACTTCTGAGGAGTGAACACCAGGCGGAGGGACTGAGGAAGTGGGGTCTCAGGCAGCTAGACCACCTTCACAGGGTGTCCTTCTCCCTGGGGAGCTAGCCGCCACACCAGTGGTTCTCAACCTGAGGTCATTTTAGCCCCATGGACATTGATCATGTCCAGGGACATTTTTGATTGTCATGAGAGGGTGCTGCTGGTTCCTAGTGGAGAGAGGTCAGTGTTGTTCAAACAGCCCATGGGGCTCAGAACATGTTCCCTCCAAGGAGTTAGCCAGCCTGTTAGGTCCACAGTGCTGCTCTGAACCCCTGCGTTGAGCCAGTAATGACCACAGTGACTAGGTGCTAAAGTAGTCACGTGAGATGCTGTGAGGGCATAACTGAGTTGTTACCCTAGACCTGGGTCAGGGGAGCGCTCCTGAAGCTTGAAAGTGGGCCCTGAAAAATGGGCAGCTTTACTCATACTAAGATTTTGCTATTCTATAATTTCTTGGGTTTTGCTTGCTAGTCCATTCACCCAAAGAACTAGAGACTTTGAGTATCTCTTTTATCACCTGGTCCTCTGTCGCTAAGCTCAGGAGCCTCATTCAAGGAGTATGACCTGCGTGCCCGAGGACACAGGTGCTGATGAGAGATGGGCTGCCCAGCGAGCCACTTACACTTGACAGTTTGCACCGAGGCTGCTAACAAGGAGGCATTCCAAGGGACACCATATATCTGCCTGAGGGTCTGAGGAAGGCCTCCCAGAGGAGCTGTCACAGCAGTTCTGTGAAGCCCAAGCAGAAAAATTGCAGCACGTTAAGCTAACAGCACGCATGGGAGTTTGGAGGCTGAGAGGGGACACAGGGACAGCCCACAACCCTGTGTAGCCTCTGCCTGAGTCGCAGGGGGCTGGGAGGAGTGCTTGTGCACAGTGGGCCAGGGTCAGGAGGGTCAGGACAGGAGGGTCGTGAGGTAGAAACTTACTCTTGGAGCCGGGAAGGCAGAGGAATTGCAGGAGTGACGCCAGGTGGAAAGTGGCTCCAGTTTAGCTACAGGAAACCGGTGCAGCTGCTCCCGGCATGATCCTCCACCTTTGCCAGCCTTTTGTGTGTCCTCTGGAAATAAGTACACAGGTTCAGTCTGGGTTGGGAAAGATTGCCCACCTTAAAAACCTGGGTGCAGGGTCAGCCCCTACCACCCACATGCTTCCCATGCGAGGTGGGTGGGAGGGGCGATTTGTACAGATGGTTCATGTGGACAGGGGGAAAAACCTGAGGGACGGGTGATGCTAATCACTACAGGAGTGACAGGAAAGATTGGTTTTGGGGGGGACATTCTCAAGGTTGGGATCTGGGGGAGAGGAGGCTGGGGCCATGGTGAGGGAGCTGCCCCTGGTAGAGACGGGAGGAAACAGACAGGAGAGAGGGACATTCCTAATGGCAGCTTAGAGGTCCCTTGGAGGGGCTGTAGTGTCTTGAGAATGACAAGTAGGGTTGAGGGTGACGTTGGAGCTGGACTTTAAAGGATGATCACAGACTTCTCAGGAAGGAAAGGGAGGCAAGCAGCACTAAGGGCCAGATTAAACAAAGTTACAGAGGCAGGACATTTATGTTAGAATCTTCGAGTTCTCCCCAGATACCCATTCTCTTCCCAAGAATCAAAATAAATGACTCTCAGGTGGGCATTTGGTAAGCTGGAATAAACACTGTCCCTGCCACCTTAGAGGAGACAGGTCAGCCCCATGTGATGAAGCACAGGTGGTAGGTGTTAGCTGACACCCTTCCTGGGCCTTTACTGCCCCTTCCAAGTTCTTCCTGGCTGAGATACAGACCAGATTTCTAGAACTTGCACAATCATCTTGCACCATGTTAAACACACAGCAACAAAATCAAAGGAGTCTGGGTCTACCCAGAAGTCCCAATCTAACTGCCTACCTCAGAGCTGGTTTTACATGAGAAAGAAGCTTCTATTTTATTTAAGTTCCTAGTATTTGGGGTTTCTGTGAACCTAATCATAACTGCTAGACGCTCCATAATTTAATATACGTTGAAATCAAGTGACTCAATCTGAAACTGGAAAAGTAAATTATGGCAGTTTGTGATTCCCAGCTAAGAAATTTGGACTTTATCCTGTTGGCAGTAGGGAACTAAAGGTTTCTGAGCCAAAGGATCAAAATTGTACTTTGGAAAAATCCCTCTGGCAGCAGGCTGGGGAACAATTTGGAGAAGAGAGACACTCGAGAAAACCAGAAATTTCTTACGCTTCTGAATTTCAGATAAGTAGATAAGTACAACCACCCCTGAATTTCAAATAACAAAGTAGGGATTACCAACTTTGAAGAGGCCAAGGGAGGAAAAAAGTCTGGAACAAAACAATGTCAAAGGAGAATCTGACTTAAAACATGGCTTCCATGCTTCACGAGTGTAGGGGACTGTTTATTGATTTTCGTGCTGAATAAGCCCTGTGAAGGAGTCACTCTTCAGGCCTGCTAAGTAAACAATATCTTTTTTAAATGGCTAAAAAAGAAACCTTTGGCTCTGGAAGACCAAAAGAAGACAAACAAACAAAGCTTGGGCACACCTGAAGCTCAGAGACTCAGGCCTAGCTCTCCCCGTTGTCTTCTGGGAGCATCCAGGGTTAACTACCTACAACTACTGCCTTGATACTGATGACTGTCTTGTGTCTTGGGAGATGAGATTATAATAATAATAATAATAATAATAATAATAAAGTCTGCCTTCCTCTGGGAAAGACTGAGGCCCAGAAAAAAAGATTCTTGTTAAACCTGTGTGTGTCAGGCATCCAAGTCCTTGTGCCTGGAACCTCTTAGCAGCACCCACAAGCCCCATTCTTAGTTATGGGTTCCATGCCATGCCCTGGATAAGGCACTGGGCCCAGCCGGAGCAGCTGGGAACGGTGGAGAAGAGAGACAGCCTGGCGTAGCACCTGCCTGCATCTGAAGGCAGGAGAATCCTGGGAAAGCTGACCTAAAGGTAAGTGGGAAGGAAGATTTCCCTACGCTCCTAACCCTTTGCAGTGGACAAGCATTTGATTTTTACAATACCTCTCACCACTGAGGTTTAGCATCACTATGAAGAGAGGTGAAGTGAGCTGCTCCGAGAGCAAGCAGCAGAACTGCCACAGGAAGCCCCATTCCGTGACCCTCTCTGTTCACCATACCAGTCAGTCCCAATTATTTTGGCCCCACAGCGGCCTTCAGCTCCCTTTTTTTTTTTTCTTTTCAGAACTCTAATTTTTGTTCAATAAGAACTGACATGTCATCAGAAGAGTTGGAATTTCCTTTTGTCTAACAGAAGCATAAAAAAGGGAGAACCAGGATGCCATCGAAGTCCATTTATAAAAAGCTTTTTAATAAATATTGTAAACACCTGTTATGTAAAAAGCACTGGTGTAGGTGCTAGGTTTACAGCAGGAAGAAAAAACAAACACGGCATGGTCCCTGATACGGTGAGCTTACTTCTGTTCTAGTGGAGGAGAAAGACAAGGAGCAAGTGAATAAATAAACAGGCCTAGTAATGGAAACGACAAAAGTTAAAAACCCTGATGTGCAAACAAAATGATGAGGCCTGAACTAGCTTAGAAAGTAGAGAAGTGAAAGGATCTGTGAACATTTGGAAAAATCAATCGATGGGACTGAATGAATGTAGTGGTTGAAAGAGGGACCTTGGGACCTTGCTGGAGAGAGCTGCAACTTCCCCAAGAGGAAACTCAAAGGAGGAACAGGCTTTGGAGACAGGCATTTTACCTATGCTGGGCTCTTTTTCTCATCTGTACAAAACAGGTTGACAAGTGCCTCCCTGGTGGCACAAAGGGTTAAAGCACAGCACTATGAAGCTGTCTGCAGCAACTGCAGCACGAGTTCCATCCCTGCCAGGGAGCTGACCCACATGGCGCAGCAGACCTCTCCTGACCTCCCTGCTGCTCCTCTCAGCAAATCTATTTCAGTAGATCTGCCTGTTCTGCTCCTACTCTGTTTCTGGTGAATCCTCTCACCTCCCCCCAAAACCTCTGGCCTGTACCCCATGCATAAATAAATAAATCTTAAAAGAAATAAAAAGCAGGTTGACACACTAGATGACAACCCAGGCTAACTCTAGTTTTTATTAATATTGTGATCTTTGTGCCTTAGTAACTTCTAAATGGATCACAGACTATAATATAAAAATAAGCCCGAAAAGTAACCAATAAATTACAGGAGGTTGTAAAAACCAAACCTCAGAGTGAGAAAGGCCTTTGAAGTTAACAGCACAAAATTCAGAACAAACGAAAAAGAATAGATAGATTTAATCCCATAAATATATGTTTTAGCATGGCAAAAAAAAAAAAAAAAACCACTAGGCAAAGGCAAAGTCAACAAACTGGGGAAAATATTTGCAACTCATTTGATGAAGCGCTGACTACCCTAATATGCAGTGAGCTCCTATGAATCAGAAAAAAAATGGGCAAAAGAAATAGACAAGAGGAAATAGATCTCTTTCAGCATATGAAATGAGGCTCACTACTCAAAATTTAACTACCCTAAGAACCAATTTTCAGCTATCAGAGTGAAAAAGGTAAGGTTTGATATCAGTATTGATGATTTATGGAGACTGGAGCAATATCCAGGGCAGATACCCTTTGACTAGGCTGCCTTACTGCAAAGGCTAGGCCCATGCGGATACACACTTCAGGAGTTGTAACAAAAGACTAGAAACTATCTTAATGCCCTTCACTAGGGCACTGATTAATCTGTTCTTTGTAAAGTGGCATGTAATTAACCACAATATACCATTCTTTCTGAGGAAGTTCCTTTTGTAGTCTTAGGGAGTGATTTTCAAAATAAAGTGCAGAACTGTATGTATAATGTACTTCTATGTTTGATAAGTGTAAAATAACTGGAAAGCACATTTTAAATGATTACTGTGGCTCTCGGGAGGAAAACTAGGCTACCAGAGAACAGAGATAATACTTGACTGTGTATCACTTGAACCAGTGAATGAATTCTCCTTTAACGATATAATTTAATAAATAAAAATAGCAAAGAAAATTCTTTTGTGGTTCAAGGTAAATTGGGTTAGTAAACAAGGAAACCAGTATTTATTGAGCTACTACATTCAGATGCTGTTCCGCGCACTTCCACAGGCACTACTACCACATTCAGCCCATCGAGATGGTATAAATAATTTTACAAGTTAGAAAATAGGTTAGATTGGTCGAGTAATTTAAATTTTCAGTGCCGAGCCTAGTCTTGCTTCAAAGCTCTAGTCTTCCCCACTTCCCACTCTGCTTCCACTTAAGCAAAGTGTCCTGTTTTTTAAATATCATGTACTGTTTTACACGTTTCTCATGCAATAGTAGGACAGCTCTGAAAGGTTAGAATTACTATTCCCCTTTTACAAGGAAGACAAAGCTCAAAGTGGCGCGCAACGAGCTCAAGGTCACAGATACGGAGGTTTAGAAGCCAGGTTTAATCCCAAAGCTCCTGCTCAAAGTCGGAACCACTCCCGGTTCAAAGGACAAAAGCAGGAACGTTCGCTCTGCCGGGATGGGACGGACACTTCCGGGGGGAAGGGCGAAGTCAACGGACTGCGGGAGGCGGTGCGGACTCCGCCACAGCGAGCGGGAGAGGACTAGCCGGGGGTTGCGGCCGGCCCCGCCTGTCGATCACTTGGCCCCGCCCTTCGCCGGCGCGCCCCCGTACAAGCCCCGCCCATACCCCGGCCTGGCGGGAAGCGAACGCGCGCTCCCTCCCGTTACCCTCTGCCTGAGGGGAGGGCGGGGGAGGCGATAGGCGCGCGCTCGCGACCTACGTGCTCGCGTACGTCGCCGGGGTTCGGCTACGTCCGTCCCGCCGCCTGCCCGTTGCCGCCGCCGCCGTCGCCGTCGCCGTCGCGCTCTCGCTTCGCCGGCCGCCGCCTAAGGGGGGCTGGGGCCAGGCCAAGCCGTCGCCGCAGTTGCCGGGATGCCGCGGGTGTATATTGGCCGCTTGAGCTACCAGGCCAGGGAGCGCGATGTGGAGCGCTTCTTTAAGGGCTACGGGAAGATCCTGGAGGTGGATCTGAAGAACGGGTGAGGAGGGCTAAAGAGGGGCCGGCCCCTGGGGATGGGGTGTTGGTGGAGATTGGGAGGCCGCGGGGCGGCAGAGCGACGCCTGCCCCGCGCGGAGCAGCTACCGGCCTGCTCCGGCTCCGCCATAGTCGCGGCGCCTCGGGGGCGCGGGTAGGCCGGGGCTCCCTCTGCGCCTGCGCGGGTGGGGGTGGTGGAGGGATAATGGGAGCGCTGGAGAGGATCTGAGTGGGACCGGGAGGAAGAAAACCCGAGTGGGGTTGGGGCTCCCGGCGGTATGGCACAGCTCCTGGGTGCCGGAAAAGCCAGGGTTTTCCCTTCCCAGGCCCTGGAAGTGAAGCCTGGCTCGTCTCCGAATAGAGACGGACCTTTCCCGCCCTGCAGGCTGCTGGAAATAAACGGGATTTCCTGCCCCCTTTCCACCGCTTCCCTAGTGTAATGGCTCACAGTCACAACGCATCTTTCCCGGGACAGGAACTCGGGAGGGAGGCCCTTTTTAACTTGCCATGTGCCGTAATCTTTTGGGCGGGAGACTCTGAGTTGTCTAGTGACAGTTTCGAAAGTATCGTCTGGCGTGCTGAAATCCTTCACCGTTCCTCTACAATAGTAAAATCTTTAACTCGTTTCTGTTAAGACTCCGTCCTGCCTTTCTGTGCTGTGGTTTCCGTTCTCCGACTTGCCAAAAAAAAGTTGGTTTGTTAGAATTTGGCGGGGAGTCTACTATCTGTGTTAATAGGCGGGACACCCATCTCCAAATGTCTCATTTGCTGCCTCCCGGGTTTTGGTTTGTTTCTTGTATTTCTGATGTACTTTGCAAAGCAAGGACCCTCAAGGGCTACAAGTTTCAGGGGAAACTTGTTGGAGTCAGGCCTGTAGAAGATTACAACCGGAAAAACTGAGAAGCAAGAAATAAAAGACATGGGTATAAATATTACAAGTAGAACATTTTATGGTTCTAAACTTTGGGTGTTATAGAAAAACTTGGCTTAAAAAAATAATAATAAAGACCTATTTTGCAACAGATCTGATGTAGCTAGTTCATTCCCCAGTGTATTACTAGCAGGTTATGAAAGCTACTAAGTCGAACATTTGAGAAAAATTGGTAGCTACCATATAATTCACATTGCTGGTTGGATTTAAAAGGTCATTTCAGATTAAGCATTAGAAAATATTAAGGTAGATATCCTCAAGTGTTCATTGTGAATACTGATTTCTTTTAAAATAAAAATTTTGAGAAATTTCTCTTTTTACACTTTCTTAAGGAAAGTGGGGTGGGCTTTGTTGTTGCTGTGATACATATATATCTGGGAGATCAAGTTAAAACTCCCAGTTTACTTCAGAGCCCAACTAAGTTGACAGGGTAACTAGCTTGTGTGGGGAAAGCATGGATTTTGAAGCCAGTCAGGTCTGGAGCATAGCCTTTCTTCCCCACTAACTGTGGGTAGGTGACCACTCTCATTCTGTGTCCTCATCCACATGGAAAAGAAAGACTAGAGATAGTAAGTACAAAGCATTTTAGCAGTAAATGGTAGCTATGGTCAATGGTATTTGGCTGTGATTATTAAGCGACATCTTTAGCTTTTGTTTGGTAACATTGGGCATATTTTTGGTGAGGTCTATTTTCTTGGGTTACTCAAGTGATAGCTGGAAATTAAGTTAATGGAAAAACTGGTTAATCAAACGAATAGTTTGATCACCCACCAACAAGATGCCTGCTACTGTGCTAAATGAGCTGGGAAGGAAACCAGAAAACAGTTCTGTTCTTGGGTAGATTATGTACAAGTACCCTTTGAGTTGAGAAATGCTTGCTCTTCACACTCAAATAGAACTTGAAATGATTGATTTGAAAAGATATGTTTGAAATGGGCTTTGAAAAATGGATTGACTGGAGCTTGAAATAAAGAAAAACTGGGAATTGTGTGTGTCATAACTGATGGTGGGGCGGTGGTTTAACAAGGAAAATTTTTGAGAAATAATAGTCTAGCATTGAGTCTCATGAAGGATCTGGAAATTTAACATTAACCAGAAACAGCAATTGTTAAATTTACACTGAATGCTCAGAATCATGAATAAGAATTCAGAGACTCTGAAAAGAGTACTTAAGCAACCACAAAATGCTGAAGAGACAGGCAGACCCTTCCGGGATCCTGAGTACTTGAGTCTATCTTGGGAATTAATTCACTCTTCGAGTTCTGCTTGCATGGAATCTGTGATTGAACATGAGGAAGAGGAAGTCATTTTTGGGATTTGAAGTCAGGTCACCAATCACCAAATGGGCTTGCCTCCTGGCAGCCCTCAGGAATCATTGCACAGGAATATTATTTTTGAGAAAAGGGTGAATGGTATAGCTGTGTTTCAAGCAAGCATAGACTGGACTAGATGGCAAAAGTGGAGAGGAGTTTGAAAAGTAAGGAATAGGTAGGAGGTACAGAAGGAAAAGATGACATAATTAGGAAACATGTGAGAGTGCATAGTCCTGGAAACTAAGAATGGTGGGTGTCCCTGCTGAGAATCATTATTTAAACATTGAGCATGATTATAAGTAGTTGAAACTTAAAAACAGAATTTGGATGGGTAGAGTTTTGAAGAATTGCTGAAAATTTCAAATATATCAGTAGATATGTTATACTGGAAGGTTGCAAGTAGAGTTCAGGATTAAATAGACATGAAGTACTGGTATAATAGAAAGTTGAACAAATGAGGACATAGATAATGTTCTCCGAAAGAAATGCAGTGTCTAAGAAAGGATTTTGAGGATCCTCTTGGGATTGGAAAACAGCTGTTTTCCCTTATGCTGTAGTTCATTGCCTGCCATTTTATCGTTGTAAGCAACCTTATGTGAATGGCCTTTGTTATAAAGAACTTCTGGAAACCTGGTTCTGTTTTAAACCACAAGCATTATACAGATCTCCATGGACCAACCACATAGACTGTTTCATATAGGGTCCCCTACATTTCATACCTGCCACACTATCTAACAAGTGCCTCTATGGGACCAGACGTTAAGGAAGCCACTGTATTAGCAGTTCCTATTCATAGCCTTCCAACTCATTGGTGATTTTTGCTGCCTTTGATTATTTGTGAATTCTCTGCTTTTTTAAATTAGGATATCACTATTCATGTAAAATTCAGTTTTTTAATACAATAGTCTTGCTCTTGCCACAAAATCTTGTTTTAGTCATTGACCTTTATATCTCAATTTTTTCATGTATAGTTCATGAATAGCACTTACATCCTGAGATTATTTTACTTGCCTAGTAACTGACCAGGTAAACTTCCAAGAGTGATTGAGGTGATTGGTGTTGTTTAGTTTTTGGTTAAAGGCATGAGTTAAAACCCTACAGGGGAGATTTGACTATTATTTTTAGAACCTGAGTTTCATATTACAGTGCAATTATGAATAACTAGAGTTTTTAGGGGACATTCTGGTCTATTTAATGAGAATTTCACAAGATTTTGTTTTTTCACCCATGTTAAAAATTAAAAATTTTTTTATCTTAAGTAGTTGATTTTTTTTACTTTCGTTAGACTCTCTGGTGAGTCAAGACCTTGTTCTGTTTGTTCCTGATCACTGCCTGGCATTTAAGACCTTAGATACTGACATGAATCTCTGCCAACCCCACAACTTACACAAGGATTTTCCTCTTGACTGAATCTTTGATGACAGCCTGTTTTTCCTTATCTTTCAAAGGTGCATTAAAGGAAATATAATTAGTGTTCCAGGTTATTGATTTGAGGCTAATTGAACTTCTAGTTTATCCTTAAAGCATGTAGGACATTACCTTCAACCACCACCAAATGGCAAATACATGTTTTATCATTGTAAGGATGTTACAAGGAATAGATGAGAGAAATGATGAAGAAAAAGCAAACATATTTTCTTTAAAGACCCCACTGCCATTTTCATTCCTGAGCAGTTTTTTGAACTCTTACTAAAACTTTCAGTTCTGTTAATTTTATGATTACCTAAGAATAGATTAAAGCTAGTTTTGTTTAAAGGGATGTTTCAACAACTCTGTTTATACATAGTTAAAATTAAAAGCCTATTCCTAATTCTGAAAACATTTCAAAATAGCACATAACTTATTTCTGTTTATAAAATTTTTACATCTGTTGTAATCTTTCAAGTACAGTGATGACACTGTCTACATTTTGAGACTTTTCATAAGCATCCTCACTTCTTACTCCTTTCTCTTCCCCCAACCCCACATTTTTAACAAACTTGGAACCATACTCTACATTGTTTTGTAATCTTCCTGTTTATACATAGCCTGATCCTTTTTTCTTTGTCAACCTGATTGTTAATACCGACATAATATTCCCACATATAAATGCTATTTGATGTACATTATTAAAACCATGTTGCAAGACCTTTAAATTTTGCATCTGTACCACTGGTGAGTATCCCTTATATACATAGTTCTAGCTACTAGTTTAGGGCAGATCCTTGAAAGTAGACTTTTGGGATCTAAGTGTGTACATTTTTCTTAAGACTTTTGCTGCCTATTTCCATTATTCTGTAAACAAATTATTATTTACATTTCCACCTGCCATGTGCAAGAGTTCCTATTTTTCCAAATTTGACTGCCCTTTAAATAGTGTATGGTTTAATTGGAATATTAAAATTTTGTATGAGGACATTATCTTGTAGCCTTCAAGACTCATCCAGTTAACCTATCATAATAAATCCAAGAACTTTCAAAAACAGATAAGTTTACAACCAATTGTAAATACAGATTTCTTATAGATAGACATTATCAAAAAGCATAAAGTATCATTAAGAATTGTTTTACTATAGGGAAGGTCTTGTGACAATTTTACGTCCCACTTGTTCTACTTATCTCATGTACTTTTTCTGTTACACTAATCTTTCTCATAGTCTTTTTAATGACTGCATAAAATTCATTGTATGGCTATATCATGATTTACCCAACCATTCTTCCTAGGTTTATCTAAATTCTTGTTACATATAAATAATCCTGTGGATATCATGTGCATGAAAC